CRGCGTCAGACAAGCGATTTCTTCATGGAGGAAAAGGTGCTTAACAGGCACAATGCACCTGGCAGAGCACAACCAGAAAATAAAAATAATTAATATAAAAAAAAAGAAAGAAAATGGGAGTAAATAGATAAATGGAGCGTGAAGAGAAGCCATCACTCTTGTTTACAGGTCTCAGACTCCGAGGTGTTTTATTTATGAGTCCCAATGTAATGTAATGCTGGCGAAGCAACTCGTGTATTCATCACCGACAGGAAGCGCGTGGCGTTTGATGTTTTGACAAGCAAACGGAAAAATAAACGCGCAGCTGAAGGCTACACGCGTCCGGCGCCTCATATTTACTCATTTATTCCTGCGCGCATCGTGCGTGAGGAGCTACAGGTGTCATCGCTTTACCGGGCGCAGCCTAATTGTGGTTTTATAACAGTTTCATGATGCTGCAGGCTTGAACTTTAATTAATCAACACGCCTCCAACAATTACAGTCCACATCCCACACATGCACAAACAACTGTCGACAAACATGCAGAACCAGGTCATCATAAACCTTTGTTTAAAAGCTTTTTCCATTTAACTGTTTTTTCTTGTATAAATGTTTCTTTTTCTTTTTGTCTTGAAGAAAAATAATTTAAAAACCTCTTTTTTAAAAAAGTGTCTTAAATTTGTGTTTTTGTGTATTTTTTAAACATTATAAGTGTAGCATTATGTTGATTCCAGCTCCATCATCTTTACATACGTCCAGTCGAGGCAAAGATCCTGAAGCTGATGTGCAGCTGAAAACTGAAAGGCCCGCAGTGTTGTGGAATAAAACACGTCCTGTGTGCTGCTGTGATAAAGTATTGACTCCTCCCCCTGAGGATGGTGTGCTTTAGGTTCACACCACAGGTAAATCTGGGCTGTAAGTGGACCTCAGATCCTCCAGGATTTCTTGATACCTGCAGGGACAAGTCAAAGGCTTCGTGTAGCTGCTGAAGGTCGTGGGTCAGGTTGTGACTGAGAGACGGGTATCGACCAGTCCTCGGATCTTTAGCCCAGTTAAGCTGAGCAATAAACGAGTGTCTTCAGAGGACACATACGGTACACACAGTGGCTTAAAGGACATTAAAATGTCCACAAAAACTAAAATCAATGCTTCAGCAATTCATTATTTTCTTAGCTTGTCAGCAGAGGTTGTCTTTGCTGTAAGACCAGATGAAACAAGAAAAACAGTGTTTTCAACCAAAATACAGTTGAAAAACGGAGAGCTGAATATGTGCTGCAGCAGCTGAAACTGAGTTATCAAACTTTAAAGGAGGAAAACAACTAAAAGCTAAAGGAACCAGAATACGAGCTAAAATAATAAAAAAAGAGCAGAAATGCAAAAGTAGCAAAATACAAGCACAAATGCTGGTGAAGATTCTCAGTTGTCCAGGTCATGGTCAATAAAAAAAGAGTTAAAAACAAAAACAACTGGACTTTCAATTCTAAAGTTGAAGATGTTTCGCTTCCCATCCAGGAGGCTTTTTCAGTTCAAGCCTCCTGGATGGGAAGCAAAACATTAACAAAATTATAGATTAAAGCCAAACTTGTCCAAAGGCTAGTTAAAAGCCCAGTACAGTAAAATGGTAACTTAAAGCTAAAAGTAGCCAAARGCTAACAAAATCTAGAAGTAGACTAAATGTTAAATGCAACAAACTGTTAGCTAGAAGGTAAACTTAGCCAAATACTAGCAAAAGGTTAGAAGTAGGCGAAAGTTAGTTAAAAGCCAAATACAGCAAAATGGTACCTAGCAGCTAAAAGTAGCCAAATGTTAACAAAAAGCTTAAGCAGACAGTCTAATTAAAAGTGAAATGGAGCCATTTGATAGCGTGAAAGTAAATTTAGCCAAATGCTAGCAAAACGTTAGAAGTAGACTAAAGCTAGTTACAAGACAAATGCAGCAAAATGGTAGCAAAGCTAAAAGTAGCCAAACGCTAACAAAAATCTAGAAGTATACTGAAGTTGAGTGTGGCAAATCTGTAGCTAGCAGGTAAAAGTAGCCAAACTTTAGCTCAAAGCTAAAAGCAATAAATGCCAAGTAAAGGCAGAGGTTAGTAAAAAGCTAAAAGCAGCGCGAAAAGCTCAGATCTAAAAGTGCCAAAACACTAGATAAAAATGGCAAAAGGCTACAGAAAAAAATACACATTAGTAAAAGAATTGCAATAGAAAACTAAAATGGAATCGCTATAACAAGTAAATTCAAAAGAGAAAAAAATGCTTGTAAATAATGTTAAATTAATAATAATAATAATAACAATGCTGTATGTCCATTTAATTACACCTCAGTACAGCAGATTTGAGCTGAATCTGTTAAATTCAGTTCAGACCAGCAGTTTATTATACAGAAACACTCAGACACAGATACGCAGATAAAATATAAATTTGATATTGCTGTGAAGAGTGAGCTGTGAAAAGGACACAATATGATGATCTGCTCAAACACAAAAACACACAAAAACACTGTGTGTTTATCTGCTGCTGCGGGGCAAACCTCATGTTGCCGTGGAGATTGTGGTGAAGAGAAGTGGCCTGGTTTTGACTGACAGCTGTTGTGTTTATATCTCCAGATGTGTGTGCGTGTATATATGTGTGTGTGTGTTTCAGTAGGTTGTTTTCTCTTTTAGACACCACAAGTGGCCTAATTAGCATACATTCACAGTGGGTGCAGCAAAGCACAAAGACGTGGCTTATTGTGAGTTTAAAATCATTCAGCTCTGCATCAAAACATCCCCAAATCAATCTAATGGAAAAGAATGGAAACCTCATTTTCTTTTTTTAAATAGAAATTGGTTTGAGGTTCTTTGTTGTTCCTATTCAACCCTCTCATTTTGGAGCAGATACTAACAGYACACCGGCGAGTTTGACTTGGAAGTTGGCGAGATGTGGCCCTAATGAGCCTCTCTGTGCCCTGTCGTGGTATTAAGTATTCATGATGCAGATATTTTTAACTGTGTAGACATCGGTGTCTTTACTGCAGTGGCTCCAAAACACTTTAGACAGCAGACGGCTCTCTGACACCGGTGGGAGTCGTGTCATCGTGTCGCCAAACTCTGCCCAGATGTTGATTTGAGTGAACCGAGGAGGTGACAGCAGCGCGTTGAGTCCAGCTCAGCTGTCAAACTGAAGATGGCATTTTGCTAAACAAGACGTTCTACTCCACGTTTTAGCAAAATATGAACTAAAATGTCATACTGTATAATTAACCTCCGGGAAAAAGCAGTAAATAAACTTGAATATAATAATATTGAAGCACCAAATGTTATTTAGAAATCTTTAAAATCCTCCTTTTTTCACATCATCTTTTTTCTTGTCCTGTTTTCTGTCCATAAATTACAATTAAAGTTCTCTTTAAGTGGTAGCAAAAAAATTAATTAAGCTGCAAGATGCATTTTCTGTAAAAATACAGCTGAGTTCTACGTGACTTCTAAAACTTCCTGAAAAGATTTAAACTCATCTGCACAAACAAATCAGGCAAAACWCTAAAGCTAAAAGTATCATGAGCTGAACGTTTGAATTGTCACCATTATTTAATCTGCAGACTTGTTTTGTTCTTTACATTTGTGAGAAAACTGAAGTTTACAAAATGCATACAAAGTAATGTAAATGAAACTAGAGAATTTTCATTTACTGTGAAATGAAATGTGAATACATATAGCTGAAAATGTTTAAAAACAAAACMGTTAATGTGAGTTCAAGTTGAACAGCTGACGCTTGCTGAAAGTAAGATAAAAAAACAAAAATCATTAGAAAATATTGCAAAAATGTGTCAAAAAAGCTGCAAAGAGCAGAAATGTAGCTAAAAATACCAGAAACAGTTTGGATTTAMCAGAAAGACTGTAAAAGGCTCACATTGGCAGAAAAAAAAACAAGAAAAGAAGTACAAAAAGGTGCAATTTGTGATAAAATAGCTAAAAAAAATGCTGAAATGAATTGAAAGTAGCTTAAAGTGACTAAAAAAGCTGAAATTAGCACAAAGAAGCAGAACCAGAGTAAAAGGTAAAAAGTGCATTAAAGATTTAAAAATATTTATATTATTATTCTGAAGGGCTTTAAGGATGTTGAAGATGGCTTCATTGATTTTCAATCAGTTGCTGAAATACCAAACATATCACCCATGGCATTAATGAGCTGATCGTTTTCATTTATGAATTGTTGAAATGGGACAAAATTGTGGAACAAGTTGTGTCAAAAAACACACGGAAGAAAAATGAATCATCTAAATGATGTGAATGTTTGATAAGAATTCACAGTYATTCTTAATAAGTCGTAGTAAAATTCAACTCAATGATTTGTTGGTGGTGCTTAAAAAGTAATCACYGGCGAGATGAATAGAGTATGAGGCTGCAGATTTTCTACATTAAACCCCGCTCATCCATCTCCACTGGTTATTGACTCATCGAGGTCACGTGATGACAACAATAACTGCCTTCAAAACAGACAGCCTCCATGTTTTCACCAGGTCCTCTGTCTTGTAATGACTTTATTTCGATTCATCTTCAGCGAATCGCACACAGCTCAAACAACAGAAAAAGTGATAAAACAGAGAGTGGGCAAACACAGTTGGCTCAGCCAGCAGCTAAATCAGAGGAGTGGGCTGCAGGAAGCAGTTTTTAGGCTGTGGGTGCTGGAAGATGTGGATCGTGGTGAAACGGAGAACAGGCTCCCTCTGATTGATTTTTCTCACCTTTGTGGTTCTGTAGTAAAACTCTGGTTGTGTTTCAGATACTCTGACTCAGTCTGTGCAGCTGAAAGGTGGGTTAACGTCTATTTAGTTTGGTGCAGTTTGTATTTTGGTCCTGCATTTTCAGTTTCTCACTCCTCTAATAACAGCTTCATGTCACAGGAAGACATTACAAACTGCTCATCTACTTCCTGACTAATTGTTTGGTTGTTTAATGTGACGCCTCAGCGACTGTACTTCAAGTTCAAGTAGTTCAGGAACGATCAACTTTTTCTTGTGTGTCAGTAAACAAAACACAAGGGAGGGAAAATCCATCAGCATTTATTATTATAATTTATATATTCAGATTAAAACTAGGATTGACTCGGATACAGTGGTGCATATGTGAAACGATAGATTTAGTGAATACATGCACGACTCTCGCAGAACGAAGAAGTTCACAGTAAGCCATAAGTTGATGTTGTTTTGTGTTTAACAAAGCCTGCATCGATGCCTTCGCTATGAAACACAAAATCACAGTAATTCCAGTAAAACTCTAATAAAAAAAGTATTTATTATAATTTTTTTTGTTTCTCTGAATCGGTCCACTTGTTCTCTGTGTGTTGGTCTGGATTTTAGCGATCTGCGTTCATTTTTCGAAGCTTGGCGGGGAGATTGTCCTCCAGCCTCCCTCCGGCTGAAAGGAGGGGACTGTGCATAGGAACTGGAGTTGGTGACAGTGTAGTTGGCGGGCTGTGCTGGTACAGGTCTCCAGTGGACTGCGTCATGGGCTCAAAGCCCACCTTCAGGGACTTGAGTTGCAGGCGGTTCTGTGCCACGGGACTGGGCGAGGAGCTGAGCCTCTGCAGCTTCAGGGGGAGGTCCCCCGTGCTGCAGGCCTTCTCCGAGTGCTGCGAGCTGAGCAGCAGCACCTTCCTCTGCAGGTCCTCCTTCCCCGATGAGCTCATCCTCTGCAGCTTGCTCGGCAGTCGACCCCCAGTTCCTCCCAGGCGGGCTTTTTCGTCCGAAGCGTTGATGCAATCCACGGAAAACACCCGGTTGCGCCGGGCGCTGTGGCCTTCAGTTAGTGCAGGCYTAGGGGTGGACAGAGGGGAGGGTAAGGAGTTCTTCTCCTCCAGCTCTTTGACACTGTACGGGGGTGTCGGGACCTCGAATGTGCTGTGGAACTGGGAGTAGTCCACCCTGAAAAAGCCTTCCTCCAGCGACATCACAGGCAGGAAGCGATGGCCCCATAAAACCTCGTCCTCAGTGTACGACGTCCGTGCTTGACATGTCATACCTACAGAGGAGATGACAGGAGAGTAATAATCTTAARATCGCCATCGAACGAGGTGAAAACACTGCACTTATCTGTTGATGAAAAGGACTACAAAAGGAAATCTCATATTTTTTATTTTTTAGAAGATAGCAAACTTCTCCTGCAGTCATTTAGTTCAATTAAGTCAAACATACAGAAATATAAAAGCTTTCTCGGCTCATAAAAGTAATCGCTAAGTGTAGAGACTCTCACTTCTGACTGGCTCAACATTTTTTCTTGTTACTGACAGCTGTAGAGAATTTATTTTATCATAATTATGGTATCTTTCAACTCAGACAGTATGGCAMTCTGATCTAATCTGGTTTGTTCTTTGTTTTTTATTTCAAAATAAAAAGAGAAAAATGTAGGTAATCTGTTTTTTTTATTAGTTTTTCTGGTTAAAAACAGTCTTTTAAAAACAACAAAAGCAAAATTTATGAAAGGCTACATTTTACTTTTTTCCCCCATGTTTAAAGCAAAAACAAGCTTTATATTTTGTTACTGCACCATTTGTTACTTTCTGGCAGAACCAGAAATCGTRATGACCTGAACTCCTGACGCATTACGTTTTCACTGAGCACTTTAGAAACGAATAAAAGTCTTATTTAGAGGAAGTCGATCTTARCGTGAACAAAATTGGTTTAATATTCAAAGTTATGCAAYCARTTCGAGTGCAGCCATTGTTAATATCTTTAGGAATGGTTTATGTTTTAAGCAGTTTTCTTCCAGCCACAATAAACACTTATTCTTTGATGACTTCTGTCATTTCCAGTATCGCTACATAATAAAACAACAACCATATTTTGGATTTAGCTAAGGGAAGCAAAAATCAAACTGTGGATTTTTCGTTAGTTAGTTAGTTTATTAGTTTTACATTTTTATATTTAGGCTTTGAAATTGAGAAAAACAAAAAACAACACGGTTGTTATTCTTTTTGCAATTTTCTTTCCCGGAACAAAAACAAAGAACAAACCATACACGGATTGGATCTTTGTCCTTCATAAAAGCATCATAATCCTTATATTTATCAGGATTTGTACAGGTGCTTGAAATCTTTGAATTTTTTTAATTTTAACAAAGTGATCAAGGTTTGGAAAGTGCTTTGTTTCTGTATAAAGTCCTTAAAGGTTTTTAATATTCTAACTGCATGGTTTTGTAATAAAGATCAGTTTGATTAGTTTTTCAGTTTGTTAAAAAAATTATCAATTTGATATTTTTTGTTAAAGACACAAAATAGCCACCATTTTTTGAAAATGAATCTCAGAAAGCCTTGCTGTCGCTCTGAGTGGGTTTGCTCCTTTTTGTAATAGCAGACCTATGCCAGGTGGTTACCGTTTTAATGACTGCTGGCTTGAAAACGCTAAATACACTGCTCAAAAAAATAAAGGGAACACTTAAACAACGCACGCTAACTCCCGATCTTAATCAATGAAATATTCGCATTGAGTACTTTGTTCTGTACAGAGTTGAATGTGCTTCACAGAAGTTTGATTTACTTGGACTTAGCGTGCGTTGTTTAAGTGTTCCCTTTATTTTTTTGAGCAGTGTATAAGGATTGGTTGAAACGAGGACCAAATCCTCAAATAGCTTCCAGCAAGATCTGCAGGCAGGGTCTTCAGCTGTTTAAGATTGGTGAGTCAGCGCTCTCGAGCCATGATGCAGAAGGCAAGCCATAGTAGTAGGAGGGAATATTAAATTTAAGCTAGTTTACAACTTTGCAAGTAAATTGCAGATTGATTGTATTAAGGATGGATCAAGCTAAGGTTTTATGTCATCTACTGTACTTGAAAGTGTGCAACAAAACATTTTTGTTGGTGGTTAGGTGGTTAGCTAATGGTTTAATTACGCAAAATGTAGTTGTGGCTTGGCAATGTTTCGTCATGGTCATGTGCTTCTAATGTCCTTTTGCCTATKTGTCCATTTTAGTATTATAAATTAGAGAATTTTATTTATTTAGACAGTATTTTAGATTGGTGATAGGCTCCCCTCACATAAAGAAAGCTGTATGTGTCATGGCTATAAAGCTCAATGGAGAAAAGCACATAAAGATACAGACAGCTACGAAGGTTGATGCTGGAAAAGTTTGACAATTCACCTTGAAAATGRTTGAAAAMTTATTGAATTTTACTSTAGGAAAAATGTACAAACCCTGATRTATCTCGTCTCTAAGAACACAAAAMGACATTATGAGATCGACATGATGTCGTAACAAGTAGATGTTTTATCTCCACATAGTTTTCTGTGGGTCATTGTGACAAAACCACGAATCACGATACCTCAGTTAAGCTTTTAGAACTAATTATTACAACATTTTCTTAACGTAATGTCTCTTAAGCTTGGTTCGTTTTCAACCGTTTTAAGAAGTCAGTGTCAAAACGACCAAGTTGTTCTATCAAACCACTCCTCCATCTTAAATTTCTTCTGACAACATGAGGGTTTTCTCCTGTCYTATGTATGTATGTAGCTACTTATCTGAATCTGTAGTTTTGCTCCAAACTGAGCTTTTTGTTAAGCACTGTGGGTTTTAACAATAGAGTAGGAGTCTGATCGCGTGCCTCCGAGGGATGATATGTGAAGAGTTATGTCAGAGCCTGATGCTATTCCAGGATCACTACACGACTCCATCCACTGAAAACCTTAAAAAGTCCTGCATCATTTTAATGCTAATTTAACCCAAAGGCTCGGCTGTAACAGTGAGCGGGGGGTAATTTTCCAGCACTTTTCTCTTTTTTTACGAGAAGAAAAGGCTGTATTTCCTCTGACTGTTGACACACAAAARGACAGCAACAGCAGTGAGGTGGACGGTTTTTGGGCTCTGGGCCTGACAGGCATGCCATTTTAGTTTTATCTTTCGGGCATTGTATGGGTATCCACCCACCCAGATAATGTTCACAGCATCCTGAATAAAAATAAAAGCCTTCAGCAAAATAAAAACTGGGCAGACAGCGAGCAGGACATCTCTGAAGCAGGTTTTATATAAATTTCTGGCAGTAGCTGTCACCAGATCTGCTCTCAGGATGTTAGTGACAGGACGCTCTGCGATGATGCTGTGATTCTAGGTTTGTGGTGAAATCATGTTCAAAGCRTCAGTTTGAACATTTGGTGCTGGTAATTTTAATATCTTATAGTTCAGCTAAAAAGTGTGCAACAAAAGAGAAAATGGACGTTTTAAAACTATTAAAGTTTGAGGAATTGGATTTTTTTTTTTGTAAGAGCTGGTGTTGATTAGTTTTTATTTAAATGTCATTTAAAAAGAGGTATAATTTATTTTTACCATGACTACATATAGTATGTCTACATAATGATAAATGTATTTTTGTGTGAGTTTCTCATTTCCTCCATCCACTCCAACATAAATATAATTAATAAGTTAAAAACTCTGTTTGAAATCAGGCAAAGCACAAGATTAGAAGACTGGTATTTATYACAGGGAATAATTAATTTGTTAAATGAATTCCACTTTGATTTGCTCAAATTAGTATATCAATTCAGTGCACAGAATCATAATGACCACAGACATAATTTCACACTAAGATTTTTTAATTAATAAAACCAATTCAAAAGACCTTGTCCAAACAAATAAGTCATTTTGTTGTTTCTAAAATATCCTCATAAACCACCATSTCTGGAAATGTCCACATCTAAAACAGAGACGGTTAAAAATTACCCAAAATGCTACATTAYCAATTATTTTTATGTTTTTAAATCGTAACTGATTCAAGTCTTTAGAAACGAGGCATGGAGCGAGCACACAAAGCTCACAAAATATAATCACAAAACCCAAGGATTTATCAACCTTGTGTGTTTAGTTCTCTTTTTGTTTTGAGCATATTATCAGTCTTGTCTGCTACTAGATACAAAAAGTTTTTCTGTAGTTGAGCAGCGTGGTTCTGTAGCATTTTCAGCACAAATGCAAGATTGTTGTTTGTTSTTGTTACGCCTGACAAGCCTAGACTGCAGATGTGTACTTGGAAAAAAAAAGTTAACTCAAAAGTATCTTAACAGAAAATGATTTTGCTAAAAATTAATTTCACTMATAAGTAAAGTACTTAAGTAAAAGTGCTCACAATAATCAGGAAAGTAAAAGTATCTWACACACTTTTTAAGAAATGTAACCACAGACTCTGTTCAGTGTTTTATTTCTGTTGGATCAAACACCTGTCTTCGACACTGTGGACCATCAGATCCTCCTGTCTCGCCTAGAYACCWGGGTGGGCATTTAAGCYCAKGGCATGCTGCATCCAWACTGCTGAAATCGGATCGGATTGTCGACATTTCGYCACCTTCTTGTCGCAACCCACGGGCCYAACTTTTCACCCCCTCCACATAAGAGCTTATTGTGTGATTGGTCAGAAGTTAGTAGGAGTGTTATTTTATGCAGAAAACGCTTGGACGCTGCATTTTATTTCAACCACTTGTTTAAAAAGAACAAAAACTACTTGCTTCAAGAAGCCGGCTGTTGTAGGCTACCCAGAAGCTGACATTTTTAAAATTAGTCAAACAGACAAAAACTAATGAATGGAGATAAATCAAACGTTGTGCATGGAGGAATCCGTCGGATAAAAACTGTGGAGCTTTAACTGCGACAGATTTGTGCACAATTAATGTCGGGTGATGGATCTCGGATTTTTTTCTGCGTTGTAGTCTCCAGCAGGAAGAAACCGCAGCGGGAGGGGTTTCCCAGGAGTTCGACACGGTGTTTCTCATGGGCTATGGAAGGTGTATGTGAAAACGTACGCCGAACAATCACATGACTGTGCATCGTCCGATCGGCTGCCGATCAACCGTACTGAAGCCTGGGTTCTTCTCTACAGTGGTTTAGATCCCACTTAACAGAGTGTGTGTCATTGCTGTTGAGTCCTCTATAGCACCTCTAACATGTGGAGTAGCTCAGGGCTCTATACTTGGCCATCTTCTATTTTCCCTTWATTTGCTCCCACTAGGATCTGTTCTCAGGAAACATGCTTTGAATGTATCYAAATAAAAGTAAAAGTTACAATTTAAAAACTTACTTTACAGATCCTCTAAAATATTACTTACTCTACACCTCTGCTAGATTGCGTTAGGTTAGAGGTGGAGCTAAAACAGCATTTCAAAAAGTTGCATCACAAAKATGCAAGATTTATTTCAATTTGGAACTTTTCTAAATATATTTAAGTAATTTCTGTCACAGTTTCAGGAGGTTTGGATTGCAGGAATTGGTTTCTACCTAAAAAAGTACAGATACTAAACTGCACAGTTGTGTTTGAGTTGAAAAGTTCTCTTGAAAGCACGACAGGATTTTCTCTTCTCCACTCTTCGGCTTCTCGATGTTAAACTTCTGGCTTCGCCCAGATTAARGGTATTAGCAGCAGAGCAGAAACTGGGCCGCCCGTCCGCCTCTCCGCTTCCCTGCTGATCCCTTCCTCCTGCTCCTCCTGAGTTTATTCAGCTCTGCAATTTCTCCCGCAACAGTGACAGAGCTGAAGACAAAAAGGGAGGATATTTGTTTTGGGCCTCTGGGAAGAATCTTTCTGTTGAATATGCGACGGGGAGATTGTGGAGWTGCTGCTGATGGTTCTCCAGCCTGTAGTTTGTCTGCTGCCATCAGAGAAATGCTGCAGAGTTTCGACTAAAGCCTCGGCTCATTCATCATAGTGACACACACATCTATGGCCACAGCTTTTATTATGCATAGAGTGGGCCTAAACTGATTGTGGAGTAATAAAATATTCCTCATAATTCAATCAGGGAATCATTCACATATGTTGTTCTTTTGCCACCCTGTTTAAATATGCAAAAAGAGAAAGATGGAGAGCAGTTCTGCTGTTTTAGGCCCATGCTTATATGTACAGAATACGGAGAGTGAAACAGATTCCTCACCGGTCGTCTCCACGATCCCCTCGAGGATGACYACGATCTCAAACTGTTCGTTGGAYAGGGAGCGCTGCGACAGGTCGAAGAACGGGCTCTTGGGATTAATCTCGTGGCAAATGGTGAGCGGCGACACCAGGAACAGCTGGTCTGCGCCCGTCCCAAAGCCGACGTCCAGCTCGCACTGGTCCAGGGGCAGGAACTCGCCTTCGGGTGTCTGACGAGACTGGAGCAGGAAAATGGGAAAGAAMAGGACATGACAGATCACACCTGTAAATATTACACCAACTAATTACTTTTATGGTTACAATCTGCCCACTGAGAGTCAAAGAACCTGTCCGTTACAGTTAGTAGGCCTAGATTAAACATCCATCAGATAAAAACAAAAACCAGATGGAGTACTTTGCAATGCTTAAAAATATTCTTTCTCTTTTGCATTTCAACTAGATGCCCCTCAGGATTCACACTTGAGAAGGATTCACAGAAACCACTAGAGCTGTGCATAAAAATTGTTATTAAAAAAAGAATTATAGATTTTCTTTTTTTCTTGTAGTATCGAAACATCCCTCCAACCCTTTGGGGGCAGTAAAATGATCGATGATTTCTATTCAGAGCGAGGAGCAAGGAAAATCGATGAGGAAGCGAAARGGCCAGCAGTAATCTCGAAGCGCCGTTGTCGCTAAAAGCAGAAATTTGGACACATTTTGGTTTTTATTATTATAAATATATTTAATTATATAATATTTTGCTGGTTTTGTTGTGTTAGTACTACACTGCTGCCTAGGCAAAAAATAGGTCAAATACTCTAATATTTCATTGGACCACGTTTAGCTTTGATTACGGCACACATTCACTGTGGCGTTGTTTCAATGAGCTTCTGCAACGTCTCAAGATTTATTTCCATCCAGCGTTGCATTCATTTGTCACCAAGATCTTGCATTGATGATGGTCGAGTCTGACCTTCTCCATCACATCCCAAAGATCCTCAATGAACTCTGTGGAGCCAATCCATGTGTGAAAATGATGTCTCATGCTCCCTGAACCACTCTTTCACAATAAGAGCCTGATGAATCCTGGCATTGTCATCTTGGAATATGGCCGTGCCATCAGAGAAGAAACAATCCATTGATGGAATAACCTGGTCATTCAGTATATTCAGGTCAGCTGACCTCATTATTTGAGCACAGACTGTTGCTGAACTTGGTCCTGACCACCTGCAGCAGCCCCACATCATAGACCAGAGTTAAATCCAGGTGGACACTTTTTTTGGCCAGGCAGTGTATCTATATTGAATCAAGCTTCACTGTATCAGGAATCATTTTGCTTTGTGAGCTCTCTATCAAAAATTGGATCAAATTGCCCCGTCCCTGGTGATACCCAACCCCTGAAACCACCAAACATTTCTTTTTATCTCTCTTTCACGAGTACTTTCCTCAGCTAGCCGAGTGAAATCTGCATTTCAATTTCTGCCTGAAGATTTAAAAAATGGACGACTGTATGTAAATATGGAGCTCCTCACAAGTCTGTATTCTGCTCCACTCCCTCCTGCACAAAGACTCTGAGTTTGTCGACTCTTTTTATTTAAATTTGATGCTCCGTCCTGACAAACGAGCAGATTTTCAATGAACTTGATGCGTTTTGATTATTTTATGCAGCAACGCTTTTGGGGAAAATGGTGCTGGTAGCTTTAAATTGTCCCGTAGATAAGAGTGTGAATGGTTGTTTGTGTTCCTGTGATGGACTGAGAKATGTCCAGGGTGTCCTCCATGTCTCACAGTGACCAGGGGTGCATGAGGTGTACAAGGACACATTATGGGTGCCTACATAAATAAACACTTTGAGACTGATTCCTCATCCATGTATGCATCATCTTGTTTTTAAACTCATTTATGGCTAATAATATATTGATATTAATGTGACAGTTTATCACAAATAAGACTATTTTCTTTATTCTTAATTTACTTATTGTGCCAAGCAATGATGACACTCAATGCATGTTTGAAAATAAAAATATTAATACCTTTTCCTATTMAACAGGTGCAGTTTTGTTAACCACCAACAGTGAATTTAGGGGTGTGTTTTACTTTTTTTCTGCTTTAGTTATAGGCCTACTCATAATTAATGAGATGAGCACCAGTGACCCGGAACCCGGGAAGGAGAAGCAGGAAAAGAAGTTGGATTGTTCAGATCAAAGTAGAAAAACATTACTTTAATTACAGATCTGTTTAATCAGATAAATGACTTTTTTTCATTTTATACTCTTCCATTTGTGTAAAACATTTAAACCAGCTGTTGTGTGTCATTAGTGTCAGATGTGGGCAGAGATGTCATGTTCTCCGTTCGTTGGAAAATTATAGTGCATTTCTGTATCACTCAATAAAAAAGGTGTATTTTAAAATCTGTCTTGAAATCTTGACATTACAGGAGGCTGAGCACACCTTCAGTGCTTCTGAACGAGTGCGTGGGAGGAAATATCCACAGGCTCCTGCATACTCTTATTTAAAAAGAAAAAAGTGTGAATTTCCTTTACCAGACCTTCATAAAACTCCTATTTCAAATGTAAGTTAATGTAAATAGAGTGAATGAACAAGATGTTCATATTCTTCAGCATTAAAATAATCTGAAGCAGAATTAGCCAGCGGGGGATCAGAAGTCCAGACCGTCCTGGATCTGAGACCCACTAATCGATGACCTCAGGACACCAAGGCTTCTCTCCAGAACTTTTCAGTTTGATTATAAATTTGAAATTTCTCATTCCAGTTCTTGGACTGTGCAGCCATCTGTGCAGTCTTTTTGTGAAGACTGAAATGATTTCCCTCCCTTCTCCATTTCTACAGTAAACCACGCTGCTTTTACAATGAAAATAGTGAAAAAACACAGATTTTTTTTTTTTTTTGCTTTGGTCCACTTTTCACTTTCCCAGTGAAGCCAGTTATGGTTTCAGAGGATGCTCCACCAGCACGTCCTTCAAGTTTGTCACGGGTTCTTGAGTTCTGAAGGGCAGCTCGTTGGCCTGTTTCACCCTGATTTCTGACTCCTGTCTTCCACTACAGTGAAGCAAGGCTCTGGTGCAGCACTGGTCCAAACACAATCAGCTGCACCTTTTTACAGGATATAATTTGTTTGGTTCATGTTCAAAATGAAAACAAAGTCTAAATTTTATTTTTTATCCTGGTCAACAAAAAAAAGAGCTGAAGCTGAACACAGTTTCCTCTTCTACAACCTTTAGTCTTCTATCAGCTGAAGAAGAGCCGAAACTGGACAGTTTTGTCATTTATTTGGTTCATGTTCAAAATGCAATATTTATTTTATTATTTTAAAGTCAAAACCACCATAAAAGTAAAATAAACATTGTTTTATAAAACATTTATTAGGTTTTTGGGTCTCCGCTGCACACCAGCTGAGCAGCAGATTGATGCCTGGCTCTGCAAACGTGTGAGTAGTTTGAGCAAAAACGCAGCCAAAGAAAGCAGACGACGGCTTCCTGGGTATCTCCGAAAAGAGCGAGGGAAAACCAAAACCCTGCGCGCTGGCGTGGGCAGATGGCCATAAACCCACATGGAACCAAAGGTCAGTTTTTCTCCGAATTGCAGCCGGAGATGGAGCTTTTATCCTGCCGCGGCGTAGCTCTTCAGTCTGCAGCTTCCACACATCACAAGTATGGTGGCTATTTTAGCTGATATACAGATTAATGATAGGCCTGTTGCTGCTTAAAGGGCACTCTGCCTTCTTTCTCTCGATCACTGCCTGTTTAAAACAAGAGTGATTATATATTTTAACCTTTCTTGGGGAAAAAAGTGAAGTCTAACAACCAGCTTCGCTTTACTTGTCTGTTTTCTTAACCCTTAAAATAAAAAATGTCCTCAAGTCTTCAAGTGACAGTTTAGATCCTCTGAAGTGGAGTTCATTGCAGTCTGCTCTTTTTAAAGGTCACCACAGTAAAACATCCTCTGTCACGCCGACTCACCACGTCTATGAAACTTTGGTCTTTCTTACAGAAGTAAATGTGGATGCTCCACGTTAGCATGTTAGCATGTGTGGACATTCTGAAGTTCTRGTTCAATCAGAGCCGACTCATTTTCACTTCAGTCACTGTGAAGCAGACGCAAACCGTTATGGATTCCAAACATAATCAAAATTATACCTTAATTTTGAARTTTTTGGATTTACAGTTGAGTTTCTGTAATGTCTGCTTTCTCTGTTTCATTTTTCTTTTAATTTTGTTGGTTTTAAAGAGTTAAACTCTGTAACATAAACYCGGCACATGAATGACGAGGGTTGTAGCTCAACAGCACCACTAATGCCTCCCAACAGGGACTGCAACTGCAGCTCCTCAGCTTCTAACATGTTTTATACTGTATATTTCCTCATATTTGCATCCTGTAAAAATGCTTTTGTTTCTGCAGTGACTCACCTTTTTGTGTTTTGTTTGTTTTGTTGTGGTTTGGGCTGCAGGAAGGGGAGTCTTTGAAGCAAAAGAACAAGGTTACACCACAAAAGCCTGGAGCAGAAAAAACGAGGAGCACTCAGTGGAAGCTGCTTACTGTTTTTTCACTGAGAGGGAGAGTAAAAAAATATGTGTAGTTGGTGGAAATGTTTTAGACATTGAATAGCTGTTCAGATTGAAACGATGTAAAACAATGCATTTTGTACAGAATTTATTGTTAAATGCTGCTTTGAACTAAAATAAATCCACATTCTTTACATCTGCATTTGAAGCTTTTTCAGACAAACCTTAAAAATCAAGTCTGTTGTTAACGACTGTCAGCTAAAACCACATAAAATTATACATTAAAGTGCCTGTGACATCAATTTTTTGTAATAAACATGAATGCATTTTTAGAAAGATAACATTAATATGATATTGCAAAACAAAATTCACGCTGGTGAGATGAACAGTTGTTGATACATTTGCATGTGAAGTAACAGGAAGTGATYTCAAAGGGGAATGTCTGCATGTAAACAGCGTTGCTACTAAATCCACTCAGTTATAAAAGAATCTGATGTTTCTTTAGATTATTTTGAGTATCAGAGACATGAAGAAGAGTCAGATTTCAAATAGGCTGTGTCTAAATTCATGGGTTGCAGCCAATGTAGACCACGGCCGACGTTGGCAGACGGCTTTGTGTCACATGCAGCCGAAATTTTCTGGGTTTTGTCGGCTGCATGAGTAGGCACCTATAAATTGGGACAGCCTACGGTGCGGGGCAGTGACATAAGCGGCCGACAAATGAGGCCAATATCTGCTGCAGCTCATGAACTGAGACACAGCCATTATATTGTTTTAATAAACATAAACCAGAGTTATTTTCTTAAAGAGTTTCCTTTTGATGTCACTTCCTGTTTCACTTTAGCTGAGCCAAATTCAAAAGAAAATGTAACAGTTACGTGACACAATTAGTAAAACTGTGCCAGGTTTCTTAAATATAAAGATGTATTTTTTTAACTTTTTGTATTTAAACGATATGCACGTCACAGGTACTTGATAAAATCCTCTCAGTTATAGACATTTTTGTGTAAAGTAAGGTCGACTAGCTGTGGCAGCCATAGTTGCTTTCCGACCTAATAGTTCAGCTGTTAAATTTTAGCTCAATATAAGGAATATTAACAGGGTTGTTGATGGCGGCCATCTTTAATTGACTCCATAAATTAATCAGTTGTAGATCCAGTGATTCCTTTCTGAATGTTTTTTTTAATCTATCGGGTTCCTGAGATATTTTGCTGATAAAATAAACAAACGCACACAGACCTGCTGAACCTGATCACCGCCCAGCTTCGGCTGCAGGTGGTGATAACCCCAGGGTTTTAACGGTTCATGTAGGTTTTATTTGGAGTTCAGTTGTGTGATTGCACTCGATGCCTTTGGGAGCGTTCGCCTCCTCAGCTCATAGTAAATGTGGAAAAGCTCGGCCGTCCCTCTTCGCCCGCACGCGTCATTAAGCTGACCAATGCCGTGCGAAGGAGAACACAGACGTAAACAAGCTCCGAGCACCTCTCTAATGCTGTTTGTCTTCTTTATGGCCCATTTTGCTCACAGAACATGGATGTGGCTGAAAGATGCTCCAGTGATAATTAAAAGAGGAGCTGTTGGACTCTGTGTTTGTGGTAATTTTCTGCACCGCTGCTCGGTTTTAGAGGCCGGGCTTCATTAGCTGTAAAAATCTGCTGAGCTCTTCATTAGTGGAGGGGATTCAGACTCACGACAGACACTTTTCCCGGCTTCGCCTATGTCTTACAGTTTCTGTGCAGCTGTTTTCAAACACTGAAATGTTCTGATCCACTCTTGAGTCTTGTTTTTCTGTGAGCGCTGATTTATACTATTTAATATTTAATAATTTTTCTGAACTTTTTGAATCACTTCTGTACACTTTGTTTTATTTTAGGCATGRAGAGAATAAAACGTTAGCTCATTCAGATAATGGGTGCTACAACTTTTTAAGTATTTAACTTTATTTATTAATATTTTCTACATTGAAACATATTAAGGTCTTTTTTCAAATCTTTTAAAATATTTTCCTCTTTGAAATCTGCTTCAGCAGACACTATTTTTATTTTAACTTTTACAGTTCTGCTAATTTTAGCTAGCCTTTTGCAGCTTTTAGATTTTACATTGCTCATTTTGACTATTAGTTTTTAGCTCTTGTTTTGTTACTTTTAACATCAACTCATTTGGTAGTTTTACATAAGCTACCAAAGCTTTTGRTACATTTAGCTTTTAGCTACTGTTTTGTTCCTTTAGCTTTTAGGTAACCTTTTGCAACTTTCAGTTAGTGTTTTGCTTTTTAAAATTATTTTAAAACCCTTTTCACAGATAGTTGTTTCTTTACTTTCTCACTCTTTCTTTCATTGAATTGTACAGCTCTGTCTTCTATTAGCTAAATACAAGCTAAAACTGGATGCCTTTGTCATTTCTACAGCCATCTGTCTTTCATCAGCTGAAGAAGAGATAATAATAGTTGGTTTTGTCTCTTCTACAGCACCGTTTTCTATTAGCTAAAAAGGAGCTGACATTCACATTTTTGTCTCTTACAGCSTTTTGTCTTCCATCAGCTGAATAAGAGCTGAAGCTGGACAGTTTTGCAACTGCTTCTTTATCAGCTAAAGAASAGCTGAAGCTGGACACCGTTTMGTCACTTTTACAGRKTTTTGTRTTCCATTAGCTAAAGAAGAGCTAAAACTAAACACAGTTTTATCACTTTTACAGCTGTTTGTCTTCCATCAACTGACTAAGAGCTGAAGCTGGACAGTTTTTCAGCTGTTMCTTTATCAGCTAAAGAARAGCTGAAGCTGGATGCAGAATAACATCCAACAGACCCTGAWCAGAAGTTTTCCTCTTTTATCTCAGTGATTTGAAGATCTCACAGCTGAGGATTGTGGAAATAACCACCTAATTATTGATAAAATAATGAGCTGCTCACTGTGAGTCATCAGAGCAGAGTTTTTCACCATTGATAGTTTTTCGGCTCAGATATAAAAGCTGTCAATCAAAAGTGCAGCATTGTGCAGAAAAACAAACAGCTGCTTTTTATTCMTTTCTTCCACTGCAGCTGCAGCTCCATAACAAATCCTTTGATCCATCAGAGAACTTGTTCTCTGCTTCTTACCTTGATAAGTTTGCAGCGGATCTGCGCGGACACCATGTGGCTGTTGCGCAGGTTTCCCACTCGGAACATGAGGCACAGTCTTCCGTCTCTCTGGGAAATCACCGCGTCCTGGCTGAACATGAGCGTCTCTGCGCGCTTCTTGGGCTGGGACATTTTGATGAACATGCAGCCGATGAGGAAGGCGTCCACGATGGAGCCCAGCAGCGACTGGAAGAGGAAGAGGATGATCCCCTCCGGGCACTTCTCCGTGATGTACCGGTGGCCGTACCCGATCGTGGCCTCGGTCTCGATGAAGAAGAGGAAGGCGGAGGGGAAGTTGTAAACATTGGCCACGCAGGGMGTGTAGGACGAGTCGTGGCCGTGGTTCAGGTCTCCCCGGATGTACGCGATGATCCACCACATGAATGCCATGACGAGCCACGCGATTGTGTAGGTCAGGATGAAGATGAGGAGGTTCCAGCGCCACTTSAGGTCCACCAGAGTGGTGAAGAGGTCCGACAGGTACCTGCTGGTCTCCCCGCCCAGGTTTCCGTGCTGCACGTTGCAGCGGCCGTTCTTCTCCACGAACCGCTGGCGCTTCTTCTTCACCGGAGCGGCAAAGGTGGCGGCCCGGTTCGTGTTCACCACCTGGTAGTCCTCTCCGAATTTTCTGCGAAGTGCCGCCATGTCGGCCCGGCTGGTGTGGATTTTAAAAACAAACTGTTTAATCCATGTTTTGTTGCGCGTCAGCCTCCAAAACTCCGGTTACCTGCAGTGCGTAAAATGCGCCATGGTCACTTCAGCGCGCACAGCCAATCCTGGGATTATTTGGAAAAACAATCATGTTTTTACACTTTTAAATTCCAGAAGTCATCCTCAWATTAAAAAAAATCCTAATTTGTCCCAGTTATTCTACATGATAGTGAAGATCTGTGCGTTTTCTGCTGTGCGCTCTGCTCAGCCTCCTCTCCGAGCTGTGCGCGAAGTATTCAGCTTCGAGAGAGAGAGAGAGAGAGAGAGA